GGTTAAGTCACATAAGAGATAATTCACTCCTTTAAAAATATCTTCACCTAATCAAAATCAATCATACTTCTAACATAATTCCAGATCTCATATATTAAGTTGAAATCAACAGCTGTGAATCATATTATAATATAACGAGCATGGCTTTGTGGAAAGAGGCATAGCTTCCCTCTCCCCCCAGTGGTTTTGCATATTTGAGATCGAAAGCCTGCTTACTGAGAAGAAGAGAAAAGGGCTAATAAATGCAATAGTGCATGTGTGCCTGCAACATCAGTTTGGTATGGGGAATTCTCAAGGACAGCCAGGATATAAGCCATGGCAGGAAATCAGGAGGAAGCCAGGAGTTCACCACATTAACCTTATACATCACCTGGGCAAGTCACTCATTAAGAAACAATCTGCCTCTCTTGGCCTGGGAATCCCTCCTGAGTGCTTCTAGGTTGTGAGTATCAAATTTTTCTTTAGCGATGCTGAGCAGAAGAGGATTTTCCATTCATCTTTTGGCCTTCCCTTCTCCCTCTCTCAATGAGGACTTGTGCTGCCTCCTGCCGGAGTGTTGTAGGGAAGATTAATTAGCTAATATTGGTTAAGGGCCTTTGATGATGACTGCTAAGTGTTTGCACCATGTAATTGCCATTTTTTCGAAGGAAATGCCCATATAGTTACTAATTAGGCATTGTTGAAGCACCTCATGGCCTATTATTTTACAGTTGTCTTGTAATTAACTGGCATCGGTACCATTTCAAATGACATTTATTGCCCATTTCCCTGGTTTAATTTTTGGAAATTTTATGAGAAGCCTGGGCATTGTTTCTTATTCACCACAACTTGAATAATTAACAATGTAAATATGGCTTTGGGTGGTGATATTGTCAACAACGAGAGTTCTTTAGAGATTTTAATTAAGAACACTACTGCCATACTTTATGTGAAAGTTTATTATGGTGCCTAAGCACTCTAAGTGATCCTTCATTGTGGACTGTGGCTCATGTCTGAGTGTTTGTGTCCGTGTGTGTGTGCTTGCGTGAATGCGTAATTTTTATGACAAATGGTATAATATGAGATATGAGAACAACAGCAAAGTCCTCCTTTGCCTTGCCATTCTCAAAGGCACAAACTGGAGAAGTTGATTAATTATGTTTTTGCCATTTTCTTTCTATAACCTAGAGACTTGAATTAGCTCAAATCAAACATCACTTGTTAAATGTCTACTATAGTATCAGTTATTGGACTAGACGTGTTTTATGATTTCTTTAATCTTTACAGTAAGTCAATGAGGTCTCTCACGATGACAAAGTGAAGATTCAGAGAGGTTAGGTAAAATGTCCAGAGCCACATAGGTAGTAATAGATGAAAGTAGAGGTCAAATTCAAGTCAGTCACACTCTGAAGCCTGGGCCCTTTCCACTCTATCTTTCAAGCAAAATTACAGAGCTTTCTACTTGGAAATGAGTCTTGGTTACTCCAAAAGCCAAGTCGTGCCTTCTCCAGGAAGTCTTGAAAGATAATGTATGTAAGTGCATCCTCTCACCTGTACACTGATTTTACTTCCTGATGCTTCTCATAGTTTGACTTTTATTTAAGCTGTGTGCCAGTGGGAAGGAAAATATAATGTGATACTTAGAAAAGCATGGACTTTGGAGACAACTGGAATGTATTTCTTATTCTGCCTCTTCCTATCCGAGTCAGTTTGGACAAAATTCAGCACAGCTTAAGCTTCATGTTGTTGATGTGAAGACAAGGAAGAGCACGTATGGAAAGTTCTCAGAATGTGTCATGGTAAATGGAAAGCACACAATACATAGTGACTGCTTGGATGGATAAAAACAAAATAAGTGAAGGAATGCATGGCAGTGACCTTTGCTCATTTGTAGGCTCACCTCCCCAAAATTGCACTCTGTGTCAGTTCAAAATGTGATTTAAAAAATATAAAAATGAATCCCATAAAGACGTGAGAAAGACAAGTATATCTGACTGAGTTCCAGGCTGCCCCACTGTAGTAGAAAAACCTGACTAGATCACACTGATCAGAATGATGTATACAAGTTTTTAAAAATAATTGCCACTAAGACTAGAATATGTTGATTATTAATGAGCTGAAATATATGGATCTATTGTGTTTTGACTTCTTCCAACCTATTTCATTAATGAGGTAGAATGATGGAGACCAACAGGAGACCTAGACTTGAAATCACAGGACTCTTATCAGAATTTCGGTTCCAGTTCCACCACGTGTCATTATCTATGTGATCTCTGTACTCAATAAGCAGTGAATTTCATAGAACTGCCAGGACTCCAGGAAGCCGATTCTGAATTTGAAATTTATTTGTGTAAAGTTTACTGGGGGCGTTTTCTGGAGCAGCACCTGTAAGGGGGCCAGAGAAGCAGGATTGGGTCATAGTGGTTGCAGGTGACTTTCCAGGCATTTCTGGAGTTGGAATAACCCTTCAGAGCTGAATTGAAGAAAGAATGCCAAGACTTTGAAGCCTTGTAGACTGTCCCCACGACAAGGGTGTAGCATTAGACAAAGCAGTCCTTTTTGGCCAAGAGAGGACATTTCCTGAGAAGAAACTTGGCTGTGAGATATCAACAACCCATACTCGCAGCAGCTGTGGGCAGGAGTTTCTTAGTTCTGGAATCTGAGTGGAGCACTACAGCATCCACTACAGTCGTGAAAGAAGGTTTTGAACTCAGGAAACATGACCCCTCGTGACTTCACTATGATTTCTTTTTTTGCAACTCAATGACTATTATCATTTTCACTTTGCAGGTGAAAATATAGAAGCTCAGAGCTAAGTAACTTGCCTAATATGCCAAGAGATTGTAGGTCCCATAATATACCACTAATGCTCTTGTGCTTTCCCTAGGACCATGTATCTGTCTACTTTGATAGCAAATGAAAAGTCACTCAATAGATTGTTAAATTGTTCAACATTTAATAGTTTGCTAAATATTAGAAAATGAAAGGGGATTATGTGTGTATATGCTTGCATGCCATGTTTTAGAACAGGCAGATAGATATTAGCTGTTTCCCCCAGATGGTGGAATTGCTCAGGACTTCGGAGAAGTAGCAACAGAAAGCCATTATAACACACTTCATATCAAGCAGGTTTTGCGAGTCAAGTAATTGCTTGTAAACATAATACCATGAATAAAACCTGATATATATTTTTTGGACTTCACAAAATAATTCCATATTATTTCTGCAAGTATTTTTTGTGTATCTCTGAAGTTATGATGTACTCACTAGGGATACTGAGGTAAATGGAGCTTATAGATTGGTGACAGTGTTGTGTTGGATTTGGACTTCAGTACTGCAAGAGATTTCTGCAGATACGGTCACCCAGAGAATATTATAAACAGACAGAATAGTCTTAAAACTCAGCCCACTCCATCATCCCGAATCTGAAGTAGAAGAAAGAGAAGGAGGGAGAGGATTTACTGAAAGCAATAACTTATTTGCTCCAGCCTGGAAAATGTCCTACAATCTATGGAGCTGTACTAACTTGTGAATGGACCTCAATGACAATGTAAATCCCTGCTGAGTTAGTTGGCATAATCGTCAGCCTACCCACTCACAGGATGCCAGCTTCTGGGCCACAGGAGCTCATGGAGGCACAGTAGCACCGTGAGACTTGTCTTCATAACAGGACTGGTCCAGGCATCCATTCTTCCCTCCTCATAGACCCCATCTGCCGTGGGAAGTTAGTCTTCACTCTAACCATCTCCATTTTCTTAATATTTGCTCTTATCAGCCTGGGCCACCTCAGGATGTGTGTGTCTATCTAAAGGCACAAGCGGTTCTCCCAGGCCTCTCCCAACTAAAATGTGAGAGCAGTCCAGCAGAACACTGTGTTTGCAAGTAGAATGATGTGGACACGAGTCATGATTCCCTCACTTTGCAACCAGTAGGCTACTCAGCTTCTCTGGGCTCTGATTTCTTCATCTGCAAAATGAAGGTTGGATGAGGAATAATAATATTTCATAATTGTGAGGAGCAAATGAGAATATTTGTGTTTTTTAGAAGGAATTGTATAAAAGTTCCATATGAATAATGATGCTGAGCTGGATGGGTGTGCAGATGCATTTAGCTTGGGAAAAAGATAAGCCTTTACTTGGAGGAAAAGGCAGAATCACAGCTGTTGAATTTGTTTTAAAATGAATACAAGACACCTTTGTAAGCCACACTGACAAATAAGTCAACCCCACTCCTCATGTGCTGGCTGACAACTTGCACCCCACTGCATCCTGTTTCCCTTGTTTAAATTCAGTAAAGGTCAGAGCAAACAGTCACCCGCGGCAATTCTAGAAACCTGTTTTCTCCTATCCACTGCACATCTCAACCCATCACTTTAGAATAACATAGTCAGATGCAATTAGCCCCAGACTATTCAGTTACGCAACAGGTTTCCATATGTCATGAAGCATCGTACTTGTGAGACCACAAGGGTGCTGCACACACAGAATGGCCTTTTCCTCTGCTTTGCACTTTCAGCAAATAACACTTGAAGTCAGGTTGTCATGATAGTCTAGATGTAACATATCTAATTCCAGTAATTTAGAACTTTCCTTGAATCTGAAATTGCTCGGGACCCATCACTGAGTGTCTGTTTTGATTTCCCTGGAGGTTGAGAAGGGGATGCTTTTCTAGGTTTCTGAGAAAACACATCCTTCTTGGGCCTTCACTTCCCTGCACAAGCTATTCTTTTTGCTATCAATATGTTTCCTTCTTATCTTAGTTGGCAAATTCAGAACACAAACTTCAAATTAGCCTCAGGTGGAACTCACCTGTGGTTTTCCTGAAGTTTGCAAAAGCGGAGAGAGTCACAGCCGTGTCCTTTGTTCAAAACCCTTCTAAGTACATCAGTTCCAATTTCCAATTCTGCAATTACTTGTTTAAATATCTTCCTTTTCTGTAGACTGTGAAGTCTTTGAAGAATGGCACTGAATTTTGTTCATCTTTTTGATTCAGAACACTTAGCATGGAATGAGCTCAAATTCTAAATTGAATAGATGAAGAAATATACAAATAGAGACTGTTTTCAAATGCTTATTTTCAATGGAAATATTTAACTCATTGTCTTCTGGTGAGGTGACATTAATTTTTTAAACACCATGCAAACTTATGCTGGCTATTTTTCCAGGAATAAAACATGGAAAATTATACCAGAAAGATGACGTTTCTTCAGTTTCTCCTTTCTCCACTGTGGGTAATTTTATTATTTTTTAAAAATTTCTGTTTTAGCTATGGGTTGCTATAACCTGCATAATTATTTAGTGGACTAATAGGCTTATTTAATGATAAGCCCGGTCTGATATGCAGGATAATGTCTTAGAGCTGTCACAGCTGAGGTGGGAGGAAGATATAGCTCAAGATGAATGGTTGAATTCAGATTCAATTGTCACTCTTTGGGCATCTGCTAAGGATTGGCTATGGTGCTGAAAACATCACCTACATTATCTTAATGATCAGTTGACACTGGCACTCCCGTTGTGCAGGTGTAGAAAGGAAGGCTCATAGAAGTGATTTAATTTGATAGAGATGACTCAGCTATTAAGCATATGCTGAATCCAGGAATCTAGTTTCACACGGACTGGAGATGGGCTGGGATTCAGAGAGTTCAAGGGAGTGCTTAGCCAGTGGATGTGTCTCCAAGACAGCCAAGTCCCTGCCAACCCTGAGGTTTGTGATCTGTGTGGCTTGTTGAGGACCTCTACTGGCAGAACTTCCTGGGCTGGTGAAACGCAGTGAGGTTGGAGATTGGGAGGAAGAAGGGCAAAGGATCTGAGTTTGAGTATTAGTCTAGTCACTTATTAGATACGTTAGGTGTTTCTTGCTTCATGCCACTGCTCTGTCTATGTCCTTCCATGGCTCCCCAGTGCTCTTTGCACAGAGATCGTGACTCTGTCCATTGCTGCATGGCCTGCCGCTCCTTGCCACTCCAGCCTCAACTCATTCCGTACCCTGCTCCCTGCCTTGGGGCTGGCCTTACCAGGAGGCTTCAGAGCCTGCCCTCTCTTGCCTTTGCAAGTGCCATTTATACCACCTAGAATTATCTTCTCATCTTTTTTCTTGTGCCACCTTAAAAAAAAAAAAGCCTTTTCATCTTTCAGCTCTCAATCCAAGCACCTGTTTCTCAAGCCAAGCCCTTCTGCTGCTCCAGGGCCAGCTCAGCTTCCTTTGTGAGTCCCTGATATTGACCTGTCTTCCTTTCCTTCAGCGCACCTCACCTGCTTTGCAGGTAGCATTCACTAATGGATTAGGTGATTAATACTGGCCTTTCCTTTTAGACTGGAATCTCCATAAGCGCAGAAACAGCACAGCACGGCCCGCACAGATCAAGTTATCTACTCACAGACGGCTACTCTCCAAACATCCACTTGCTCTCTCTGAGTCTCAGATAGTCTCCACTCTGTATGAAACTAGACTATGGTAGCTGGAAAATCAAACTTTGTGATTCGCTTTTTAAAAAAAACTATCAGAGTACAAACTCAGTTCATATCTACAAACTCTAATGGGTCCAATGACTACTAGTGAATGAATGGAGAAGGAAGGCGTAGACACAGCTGGTCTTATCAATGCTTAGCTGTCTGCAAGGCTTGAGCTTCAGAGTGCTTGCTCTTTTGCAGGTTTCTGACCTCTGGAGAATTCCAGGGCTTGTCTACCTATCTAATTAGGAGCCCATGTTCATAGTAAAATTGATTCTTCATGTAGTATGGGGTTGAGGGATTGGTAAAAGCATTGACTTTGGAGCCAGACTGCCTAGAGTCTACCGCTGATTAGCTCTGTGAATTTAAGTGACTTAACCTGTCTCTGACTTAGTTTTGCCATCTGTAAAGTGGGGGCTCTCACAGTATTTATGTTGTACTGTTGCTGTGAAGATTAAATAATTTATATTTATTTTATAAAGTGTTTACAATAGTTCCTGACATACAGTGCATGCTATATAAGTAATTTCTGTTAGTTTTATTTCTTCAGGAGATAGGACATGCTATGTCTTCTCCAGTGCCAGTGCCTAGAACCACTTCCTTCCTAGGCATCCTCCCATGTCCCCAGTAGCTGTAGCTGTTTCTGCCTCCCTTTTGAGTTGCTAAAATTTGAGTGTCTTACTCTTAATCTGAATTGTCTTAGGGCAATATGGGTTATTTTTTCCCTCTGTCTTTTTCATTGCAAAAGCTTAGTTCTCCACTAGTGGGAAAGAGTCCTATTGTCTCAGTTATACCTGGGCTCTACCCCACAAAAATTTGACTCACCAGATGCAATCAGGCAACAGGAACTTATGCTGGAGAGGTAACAGAGCTTGGGAAAGGTGGCTTTTGCTGGCATGAGTCAACACAGATCAGCTCCCCTGTGCTAAGCGGAGCTGCAGTTTGCACTATGAGTCTGTGCGCTCACTCACTTTCCCCTGGCTCACCTCTCGGTGGGCCCCCTGGCTGGCGAGCTGGCACGAGACAAACAGGAATGCTAAGGAAATGCCTTTCCAAGATGGGCTGCTGGGGAATTTAAACACAGAACTAGTTATTAAGGTTCTCTAACGGCATAAGAGAGTTGAGACTAGAGTCTGAGCTGGCAGAGAATGGTGTCTGGTATGGAGAACAGAATTCAGGCTGTACCAAGTAAGACGTCAGTGACCTTAGGGAAAGTCCCTTCCTCTCTGTGGCCCTCCCCATGTGTTAAGGGAAAAGTTCATTCATCCATTCAACACATATTTATTGAGCTTCTACTGTGTTCTAGGCACTGCTGGACTGATGAACTCTCAGATGTATTATGTTGAAATCACTTTGTGAAATACATGACTCAAAGCTCAAATACGGTGAACTTGGGGACAGGAGCAGATGGGCTGCATTGTCTTAATCTGTGTAATCAGCTCATGGCAGAAAGCGTGGTGCATAATATGAGCTCTGGAAATATTTGGTGTTCTTTAAAAAATTTCTATTGTTGGCTTTCTTTCTAAAATGTTTGTATACTATTTTATTGATATAGTTTTTCATATTGATTATTTTCTTCCTTCTATTTACTTTGGGTTTACATTGTTCTTCTTTTTCCAACCTTTGAAGGTGGCAACATGAACCACTCTTTCTTAGTCTTTGATTTTTATAAGGTTGTAAAATTTTCCCTGGCACTGCTTTAGTTGTGAATAATTTTTTTTATTTGCTGTGTTTTTATTATGATCATTTCAAATATTTTAACGTCCTTTGTGATTTCTTTTTCAACCTATGTGGTATTTGAAAGTGTGTTGTTTGATTTCCAAATATTTGAGTTTCTTGTTTTTAGTTGCTGAATTCTAATGTATTTCCTTTGTACTCAGAAACACAGTTGGCAGGCACAGTGGTATTTCCTGTGAGCTCTAGAAGGGATTGGCTCTGTGTATGTACAGGTCAGCTCTGGGCCAAGGATCCACTGAGATTTCTCCATATAGCATTCTGAGGACTCTTGTCTGAATAGTGCCCTTCTCTTTGCTAATCTGCCCTGCAAATTCCAGTTGCAATCACAGCCCTCAACTTTGATCTCTGCCACCCTAGCTCAGCAACACTGCTGTGCATTCCTTCGCCTCCATCTCCTTGTGACATGCGGATCCCTGAAAGTTCCCCATGGCAGAAAGTTGAGAAAACATTGAGCTCACCATGTGTGTTTGCTTTTTTGCTAGCATTACAGTTCTCCTCCAAAAAATGTTTACAGTTCAGGTAACACCCACACTCAGTTGCAGCCAAACCCCAAATATTACTTTATAATTTCATCTGATTTAAGCTGCAAATATTGACCTAACAAGGTGGGTTCTGGAAGTTTAGGTTTTAAAAATGCATGTTTTTAAATTTTCAAAATGGGCTTATTTTATTTTTACCAGGGCCATCTTTATAGGTTTTAAATTTAACTTTTCTTTGCATTTCTAATTGTGATTTATTTATATTTATTAATTTTGAAGAAAAAATTATTAAATCATCTTTTCCACATTTGTGAGTTTCCATCATTTTGAGCAACTAAGTTGTACCTGCAATTGCTATATAAAACCTCTTTGTAACAATATCTGAACAGTGCTTTTTACTTGGTGCTTTTTAAAGATAACATAAAGAACTAGTTATGAGTGAATAATTTAATACATAAGATCAAATGTGAATGACTTACTAACTGGTTTACTTAAGTACAATGTTATCATCTCACAGTACAAACAATATCCTGATAAAGCTATAACAGGTTGATATTTCCCAGCACTGCTCTCTCAGGTGACAGTGAGTCCTATAGTAATGTGTTCTCTTTAGTAATATTACAGTAATATTTTTAGTAAGATTGCTTTCTTGTGCTTGCTTAGATGTTCTTACTAATTCATGTATGATTTTACACATTTTGCTGAGTCTCTTCTGTGATTCATGCTTCTCCATGCCAGAGGTGCCCAATAATTCTGTTTCAGATAAGTCACTACCTTGTATCTGTGTGGAAAGTGTAATTCTAGAGACTTCTCGAATTCTTTGTTTGTAATTCCCTATAGAACACCAATTATGAACAGCTTTCATTTATTGCACTTTTTAAAAAGCTATTCATGTTTCTATTGCCTACTGCATTCATCCATAAAAATGCTGAAATTTGAAGGATTTTCTTTCCCCCCTTCAAAGTATACTCTGCAAAATTACTTTGCGTAGGCTCTTTGTTATCTGAGAATGGCTTCTCTCTATGGCAAGAAGAGGGGTTTAGGCTGCTTGGGTTTGGATTAAAAAAAAAATACAAGTTTATTATCTAAAAAAGCTTGTTTCACTTGGTCAAACGTTACTGATGCTATACTTAATTCTTGTGTCATATTGTAAAATAATTCCTAGATGTATCGTCTTAGGTTTTGCCTTTACTTATTTAATCCTCATTTAAGATGGTAAAAATGAGATTGGTAATATTTATTCTGGATATTTGAAAGATTTTCTTTTTCTTATAGATTCTTTCATATATTTCAAATAGATAAGACTGCTAGCACAGTGAATTCTGGTAGATGAGGTATGATTCTACTACTCACTTGTATTAATTCATCTGGCAGATAGAATTTAAAATCATACATGCTACTATTTTAGGGAAAAGAATCATGCTTCATACCCTGGAGGATACAAAATAAACAGATTTCTGATGCTCAAGTTGCTCAAAACATAGATAAAGTTTGGGCAAAGTTACATGCAAAATTAAATGACAACTCAAATTTTTTAATGGAAAAAATTAAGGAAATTTTGTAAAAAATAAATGGTTGGGCAAGTAATGTGGACAGTTCATAGAAGAAACAGGATTGGAGTGGCTAAAAAAACTTTTTATAGAGACTGTGTTGTCAATTATATAACCTTTATATACTTATTATAGCCTTAAAAAATAAACCCTTGCTGTTTAAACCCTGTAATTGTGTTTATATGCAAAGGTTTAGAAGGCTCTTTGGTCTTTGAAATGCAACAGGCCATGCTGTCTACGTTGTAAATATTGACATAACAAGATGGGTTCTGTAAGTTTAGTTACCATCATCTCTCCATTCTATCTAATTCATAACATCTAATTCCTCTGCTCTCCTTGTTCCCACAGAGAGCCTCATGTGCTTTCTAGAGCCCCAACTTTCCACTTTTATTGTAGCCTTCTCAATCACAAGGCTGTCCAAGGTTCCCTTGAGGCCAACTATGGGATCAGCTCCATATTCTAATTCCAAACAAGGTTACAGGCCACCATGGACTTCTAGGCTCCTGCCACCCATGACCCTGAACTGAAATAATTGGGCAATTATTTGTTTTGTTAATCTTTCACATATATATATATATATATATATATACACACATATATATACGTATGAGATTTTTCATATATATGGAAGATTATATATGAAAGATTTTTTATGTATATTATTTATATATATAATATATATATATTATATAACTCTCATATATTTATATATATATATATACACACACACACACACACACACACATATATATATATAAATATTTTGCCGCTTACTATTAGAAGCGCTTTGGTCTTTATTTAGAAGTTTGGTGATGTTTCTGTGACCAAAAATATGCTGTAGGAACTTGTTTGTATCAATTAACCTATTTTGTTACAAATCCTTTCACTTAAAGTCACAGTTTCCAAGAAACTGTGGATGACATTGAGGACTTGTTGTATTTTCAATTCATCCTCTCGTTTAATCCACATTATTACACCATCGAGTAGATACAGTAAGTAATTTGTATTTCTATTTCATACATGAGACTCATATTGAATAGGGGAAGGTAAAACCTGAGACTCCTGACTTGAATTCTAAGGCTCTTTCTTTCACCCTATACCTCATTTGGAGGTGTAAAAATTGGAAAACAAGACAAAGAGGATACAAAAGATAGTGTAAGGCTTTTCTTACATTAAAAAAGAAAGATCAGAAACAAAACGTTCATTTTTCGATGTGAAGAAAGTTTTTTTTTGTGTTTTTATTTTGTTTCCCCATGGTTTTGAGTTTTCTAACTTTCTTGCTTTCCCTCCTGGGCTAAAAATCCCATAAAGTTCCTTCAACTGATTTCCAGCTCAGTTATGCAAACTCAAGAGACTTGTGTAGCTTGAATGCATTTGAAGATAACCCTTAATTAGCGATGCTTGGGTGAAATCCTCAGGCATTGGTATCTCATTCATTTTACTGGGGCTCTAGTATTTTACTTAAAGGATCAGCAGTGAGTAATAACAAGGTGAATTATGTGGTCATGACCTGAAACTCATTATGATCATCATAAAACTTTTGATTCTTTCCCCTCCCTTTGCCAAAGTCCTTGGAATAGAGGAATAACTTAGAATGTAAAACCACTGTGTCCCCAGATCTTTTTGACACAAATTCACTCCACAAATATTATCTATGCATGATCACGAAGAAATGATATTTCTTTTTTTCTGTCTAGGATGTGGCTATAAGGCACTTTGTTCACTAAAGTAGGACTTGGATGACTGGAGGTGTCAGAAACAGGAACGGTACCTGCCCAAGGAAGGAGGGAAAGCTGGGGTGCACAGATGCCTGGTATACCTGGGATCTGATAGGGAAGGGCTAAACAGGTGGCTGGTACGGCTGGGATCTGAGTTTGACAGAAATGCACAGGGATCTACTCAGAGAAACTTTTTGATTGAAAATACTGTGGGTTAACAGCATCAGGGACAACTGTCCACAAGTCACGAGACCCCAGTTTCTGAGCTGAGTTGCAGGGTAGAGAGGAAAAGAAATTAGGAAGAACTAAGAAAAGCAGGACAGTTTTAGAGGAGTTAGAGGATTAAAACAAGAATTTAAAACAAGCTCAAGAAACACGTCAGAGATTCAGTTAACTAGGGTGGAGAATGAGATCCTGGCAGAACCAGTAGCAAATATTTCTTTAGTCTATATTTTTATGTATTAGACAAAGCCTGCTCTTACCATGTCATGGGTAAGAGTAAGTTTATTCATTAAATTCACAAAAGCTTTTTGAGCACTTATCATGTTTGTAGTCAGTGATGGGAATTCAGTAGATGAAACAGAAAGGCACCCTGCTGTCAGGCAGTTTATATTCTAATGGAGGGAGAGAGACAATAAACATAATAAATGGAAGAAGTTAAATAGAGACGACATTTAGTATGTTAAAGGTAATGTGCAATGTGCAAAACTGGTGTAGGGCAAACAGTATTGAGAGTGCTAGGTGTTCGATCAAAAATCAATGCAGACTTAGGTAAATGGAAACTTTACTTAAACAGATATTTCACCAGGGAGAATGCGTCCCTTTCAGAAATCTCAAGTGTCTCAAAATCAATCAGAAGGGGACAAGTCTTTCGGAGAGAGGGAGGGGTAAAACTGGCAGGGAAGTTTGTAGGGGCAGAAGGCAAGAGGGCGGGGTGAACAGGTGTCAAAATCAGATTGCTTCAGCAGATAAACTTTTTGTTTGTGGTCGGCTGATTCTTGGAATGAATGTTGAGGAGGATATTCTGCACTTGAAGTGCTTAGTGCTTATTTAAACTTGAGGGCAAGTCAAAATGTAGGGACCTGTATGGAGGGGCCTGTAACTCCTCTAATTTTCCTTATCTTTTAAAATATTAACATTAACATGGGTTTTTAGGGCCAGGCACAGTGGCTCATGCCTGAAATCCAGCATTTTGGGAGGCTGAGTTGGGCGGATCACCTGAGGTGTGGAGTCTAATACCAGCCTGGCCAATATGGTGTAACCCCGTCTCTACTAAAAATAAAAAAATAAAAAAATTAGCCGGGCACGGTGGCAGATGCCCGCTACTTGGGAGGCTTAGACAGGAGTATCACTTAAACCCAGGAGGCAGAAGTTGCAGTGAGCAGAGATTGCACCACTACCCTACAGTGTAGGCGACAGAGCAAGACTCCATCTCATAAAACAAAACAAAACAAAACAAAGAACATGGGGTTTTAGGACTCTTCATATTTTCCCTCCTATGTTTTCCTGTTTTTAAATTAGCGGACTACTTGTCCTCACTGAGAAACGGGAATCTAGGCAGTCTCTTGGCCTACACTCTGTTAGCAGATGATGTCAATTTTAACAAATCTGGCTACAAGTGTTTTTAGGTCCTTCCAACAATCTTAATGGACATGTGGGCTACAGATCAATGGAAAATGGGGCTCAAAAATGGGGCTTAGTCAATGATTATTTAATCTCTTTTCCAGCTATTCTATTTAACACCTAAAGGAAACATTAATATAACTTCTCTTCTGAGTTCCTTTTCAACCTAAGTGTGATCTGCAGCACTGACTTTCACACCAGCCATATACTCTAGCCCACAGACAAGGTCCATGTGAAGGAATTCTGGAGCAACAACTCTGGAAGCAAAATGGACTGTGCTCTAATTTTACAAAAACTTCTTGTTAGAGGTGAGAAAAAAAAAAAAGACGTTGTATGTATTGCTAGCAAGAAGGTTGGTCTAAAAATGAAGTGACTTTGACATCTGGCAATCAGCAGAGCTTTTGTGTGTTCTAGGTCCTGCAGCTCAAGGCTGGTCACAGGACCAGTGACCCAGGAAACGGGTGTGGTATGGGGGGGTGAGGCAGATGCTCTCTAAGAGGTATCAGCTGTTTTCAATTTTATGAAAAGATCGATATCTAAGAGTAAGCCCAGGACAGTGCATTTAAAACTTAACCATGTCTTTTCTCAGAAAATGTGATCGAAAAAACAAGTCTGAGAAGGTACTTTTTTGTTCGCTTTGTGGTTTGGAGCTAAGAAGTATAAATGGGTGGAGTACACTTGAGGTTTACATCTTTTTTGTTTTGTTTTCTGGCATAAAGATTTTAGTTCTTTATACTCTTGGGCACCTTTTCCTTACGTACATCCCTTTGGAGGTCAGCTTTGCCCTGCATGGACAGCAAATCACAGCCCTAAAAAGTGCCACCAAAACAAAATGAAGCTAATGTCACAGATAGCACTAATTCCCCAAAGACTAAAAGGGATGCCTACATTTATTTTCCTTGTCTTTTAGCCTAAAAGGAAGCTTTAGCCGAGATGTTAAAGGTACAAGTTATCTTGTCATGCCTATAAACGACAGAACGAAATCCACAGCAAAGTTTTGAAAATCTGTATAGATATAAGAAAAATAACCCCAGGATTATTGGTACAAACAGGCAAACTACTGGTCTACCAGCAGCTGTATTTCCTAATGTTACACTTTGCCTACAGTTCTAACTTGTAACTACTAAACAGGGAGGTATTCTTTCCTTTCTCTCAGCTCAGACACCTCCTGTAATTTCTCTTACATTGATAGTGAGCAATTACAATGCCTGCCAAAACAAAATGATAGGTTCATTAAATATATGTTTTGTACAACCACAGAAGAAGGAAGAATTCCTAGCTTCCCCAACACCAAATATGATTTTATTCAAAGCATCTTGAGCTACTTGTGGGGAAAGAATAATTTTATTTTTTAAATTTCTAATGCTGATTCTTTCATAAAATATAGTAAAAATCAATTACTACAAAATTATTAAAAAGGCATAAAATGCAGATCTTTTTAATTATGAGATTCAACAGATATGAAATTTCTTTGCCAAATGACTATAAAAGTTTCTAAAGACTTACTTTCAATTTCAGTACTCATCTTGTCAGAGATCAAAATTTGCAGCCCTGCAGTGGACTGTTGATGGCCTTGGAATATCATCTTTCTCCAGTAAAATATTCTGAGTGAATATTGTGATTAATCTTTTTTTGAATGCACATCAATTGAAATATTTCTTTGTATGTCTACATCTATCTATCATCTATCTATCTATCCACCTATTTATCATCTATCTATGATTTACCTATCCATCGTCATCTATCTTTACTTCGTATATTATTGCTTCCCTAATTTCAGATCGTATGCTTAAATGCTATTTTCTTTTCTTTTTAAATTTGTTTAACTTGTGGCTACAAAAACATCTCTCACTAATGAATCCCAAACCAACTGCCAAAAAGCTGGGAAGAATGTAGTGTGTGTGTGTGTGTGTGTGTGTGTGTGTGTGTGTGTGTGTGTGTGTGTGTGTGTGTGTGTGTGTGTGTGTGTGTGTGTGTGTGTGTGTGTGTGTGTGTGTGTGTGTGTGTGTGTGTGTGTGTGTGTGTGTGTGTGTGTGTGTGTGTGTGTGTGTG